ATAGTAGGAATCGTGGATGTGCACTGCTGATGAGTAGTCCTATACCAGGACGAAACGGCTCTCCAGCAATTACAGGTTTTTAACAGTGTTCTAACAATGATTGATTCATGATGTTACATGAGTCAAAAATATTAATAACAAGATTCAAAACGATAAAAAAGGCAACTTAACATAGAAATACGTGCTCTAGGTATGTTAGGGGATATAAGAATTATTGACTTGGTCCTCTTTACTTGCACTTAACTAACAAATTGACAAGCTAACAACTATACTTTGTTTAAACAATTTTCAGATTGTTCAAATAGGATTTTCCTCGCTATTGAATGTTAGCATATGTTCAAGGCACATTGAACATATTGAACGATATTACGGATTGTTTAAATTATTCATTCTGTTCCATTTTTTATCACATATGATGAGATATCACTAATGTTTATTCTAATCTATGATCTTTAGCTTCGGTTCAATGTATGTTCTTAAACTAACCAATCAATTTATAAACTCCTAGCTTTAAAGTGAGTTTCACAAACACCTTTTTTTTGGTTTGAGACTTCGAAGCGTTCAAAAAAGTGTTTACATTCAAGATTTTTTGTATATTTGTGGTGCGAGCTACTTATAAGTAGTATATGACGTGAGTGTCAACGTAATGTCTGGCAGCAGAAGATGGGGGAAAGATCAAGAGAAAGGAAGAGTTAGAACACAATGGAATTTGTATGAAACGCATGAATAGTGACAATGGATTGACGATGTTTTGCAACAGGAACAGTCCAGTTCGATATGATGAACTGATATTTTGCAAATTAACAATGATTTACGATATGGTTTTCCTATTTTACTGAGTAACTCTGTAATTTTCGTTAAATCCGATCCGGTTGCCCCACCTGTGTTCTCGTTCACTACATACTAAGGGAACAAGTACTACACGCTGGAGTGAAACTATCACCAAAGATTACATTTCTTTTAATCTCTTGGAGTTCTCTCAAACTACCTAGCATGAACATGTCAGTTTAGGGGGAAAAAACTCACATACTGGATGAAAAACACAAATGTAATTAAAATGATCACCTAAGAGTTCCGGTGAATATTATACTCTAATATACAGCAATTATGTACTAGATACACTGAAGAACGAGCGTAAGCATGTGTAACAGTGTTAAAATCACTATGTATGATGTTGCTAACCAGTTCTTTTTGCATTCTATTGCGGGAAGATCAAACATAAACGCCATGGAAGCTGAAGAACAAGCTCTGAGTACTGTGAACTTACGGTATGACTCATAAGACTTTGGTAAACAAGCAATCTCTTTTCTGTAAAAAAAACCCGCGTAATTTAATTTTGAAATAAAGAGTACTGTGGCTGTCACTTCCTATTCTCCCTTGGTGTGAAGCGGTCAGCTAACCTTGTGTGTTGTGATTTTTAGATCTTATCCGCCCTTCAGTGACTACCGATTGATTACACGCGTTACGCATGAGTTAAGTTCATTGACCTTCTTTGTCCTTATTCTCTTCCCTACTTTCATTTTTTGTGTGTATTTATCTATACTACTTGATGATATTCAGTAAACAGCTATATCCTTAATAATTTCTTAGCGTCTAATAGAATGCAAATTATATTTTTCAGTGATATCTGTAAAACTTCATCTGCAGCCCTTCTGAGGTTAATGTCGGTCTCAAATCCGGATGAAGAAGGAGCATCTGGGCATGGGGTAAGCAAACCTATCCCGTAGAAGTACGACTCGCGATACAACAAAAACGCTAACCATAAAAAATAATTCGCTGGTCTGCGGCTTATGTATCACCAGGGGTTACAGACATAAGTAAGTGGCATCCGTAAGTACTGACATAAACTAACAGTATTTATTATTAAAATTAATTTCTTTAACTTATTGCAGCTGTTACTCCCAGTTTTATACGTTCCTTGAAACTTCGTTTGAACGCTACAGCTTCCGTATGTGTGAGCACTCAGCGCCTAGTTGTTTCTCGAATAAATGTTTTTCATATTAGTCCTTGGATGCTTACTACAGGAACCTGTTTCATTTCCAGATATTCAGACGCTTTTGATCGCTTCAGACAACTCAAAAGCTGAGCTTCATGCCTAATTTACGCATGAAACAATCGTTATAGTAGTATATGACGTGAGTGTCAACGTAATGTCTGACAGCAGAAGATGCGGGAAGATCAAGAAAGGAAGAGTTAGAAGAACACAATGGAATTTGTATGAAACGCATGAATAGTGAGTGACAATGGATTGATGTTTTGCAACAGGAACAGTCCAGTTCGATATGATGAACTGATATTTTGCAAATTAACGATTTACGATATGATTTTCCTATTTTACTGAGTAACTCTGTAATTTTCGTTAAAAACAATTCGGTTGCCCCCCCACCTGTGTTCTCCTTCACTACAGTGTATGTTACTCAATCTCATACAGTAAATATAGATATGAGAGAAACGTTCTCAGATAACCTTATACTGATTTTTTCTGTTATAATGTCGTCCCATTTTCATTTTTATTTCAAGGATGGCTGGCATATTACTTTGGATCATAGATTACTAGTTTGGAGCCGCCTCATCATTATCGATTTTTAGCTTCGATAAATGATTCAAGATAATTTAGAAATTATTTCATGGTTTGCGTCCCTTGTTCCAACTGTTTTACAGATTTCGTTGAATGTTTCCAATCATCTTTGCTCCAATTATGGAGGAATTTTTAGTAGATATTAGTCATTCATAATTGGATAAGATTTTCTCTAAAATACTATTGAAGAATTATTTTTCAACATGTCTCGTTTTAATTATATTTGATAATTAGTCACATGCTTAGTTTTATGCAAACTTTTAATCATTCCATATTTCGTCCAACTTAAATAATTTGACAGTTGATCACAGTTTTTAAAAAGTGCTTCAGTAAGTACATTTACAATATAGGATTGTGGAGATTGTTGGGTTTGATTGAAATCATGAATCGATCGTTGTTAGAACACAATTAGAAACCTTGAAGCACTGAATGGCCGTTTCATTCTAGTGTAGAACTAATCAGCGGTGCACATCCATGACCGCGCTTGCATGAATCAAACTATTGGAGTTCAACCCTGTCGTGTGTGAAGCAGTTACCTACCGAAAACTATTCATGAGGTTATGAAATATCGTAAATTGCCAACCAATTCAACTAATGAAGTTTCAATACTTCATCTTTTGATCTGCCAGCCTTATCTAGTATCTGTTTCCTAACAACAGCATTGCTTACCCGATGGTCTCGGGATATACAAACAATGCTTTGAAGACACCTATGATCGAATACTAGCAACCTACGAATATCCTCAACTCTTACTAGCAATGTTTAACAGCTATAGAGTAGGACAGAGAGAACTGCTGCACAGTAGACTCGTCCTTTTTGGTTAGCAGACGGATATTTTGCCTACGCCATAAGTGACGCAAGTTCTCAAAAGCCAATCGTGCTCATATTTCGTCAGTCACCAGGTTCAACTGCTTCACTCCCTATCACTAGTTTAAATACCGATGCAACCAAATCCTGAAGCAGCATTTTGTATTTCAAAGAGGAGAATCACATTCCAAACATGCTTGCACTGTTGCTTAACGTAGTCAACTGACTCGGCATTTTGTCAGTGTCTTCACCGAATACAACTATATCATCGACATATTCTAAGTCAATAAGCGATCCTCCTGGTAGAATATCCACCCCTGAAAAATCAGACGAGGATAATGTTAACTCTAAAAGTATGTCTACGAAAAAGTTAAACAATAATAAATAGAGTGAACATCCCTTGACGGACAACACTTGAAGTAAAGAATTCTAATGGGCAGTTCAGTCAGTCAGTTGCAACGTAGAACTACGCACATATGTACATAAGTTCATGTTGCCATACCACATCATCACAGAGACGCGAATGTCATATCAAATCTCATATTGATAAAGATAGTAGAGGTATTAATGTTAATAAAGAAGACTAGAGTTCGAAGATATTATTCAAAAAATATAATTCAGTGAGATAAGGTTAGAAAGACAAAGGTAGAGGTGCTGACGAATCCAGAAGATTACGATATGATAGAGCAAAACGAATGGATGCATTTGAGCCATTGCAAACGATTTTGAGCCATGTCGTTCAAGGTCTCTAACCATCGGTGACTTTCGTCTCGCGAACTCCAATAAAGTAGCCTACATCTACCAACATGACTCAGACCACTTGTCAGTGAATTCATGGATTTGTTGCATGTTTTGGTTTGGCCGCCAATAGCTTTCTTCCAACCTACTCCTACACCACAAAACATAGCTCGTCGAGGCAGTCGGTGGTTAAATATTCGTAACACATGTCCCAACCACCTCAACTGATGAAGTTTCATTACTTAGTTACTTCCTTAGCTAGTACTCGTTTCCTAACGATAGCATTGCTTACTCGGGTTTCCCACGATATACGAGTAATGCTTCTTAAACATCTATGATCGAATACTAGTGACCTACGAACATCTTCTACTCTTACCGGCCATGTTTCACATCCATATAGGAGAACGGAGCGAACTGCTGCGCAGTAAAACCGTCCTTTGGTTAGCGAACGGATATCTCGCCTACGCCATAAGTGACGCAGGTTGGCAAAAGCCAATCGAGCTTTCTGTATTCGCGCTGAGATTTCGTCAGTCACCAGGCTATCAGCGCTGATGAGACTCCCAAGATAAGTGAAGTGTTCAACAAGCTCAACTACTTCACTCCCTATCATTAGTTCAGGTGTCGATGCAACCCAGTCTTGAAGCAACATTTTGCATTTCGACGGTGAGAACCGCATTCCGAACATGTTCTTATTGTTGCCTATGGTAGTCAGAAGACTCTGCATTTTGTCAGCGTTCACCATAACCTCTCTCTTACTCGACTAGTAGTATTCGAGTAGAGAGCTTGTAAAAAGTATAAAGACACTAAAAAGACCAAGTACACATTCATTCAATTTCATTACAAGTGAAAAATCAATAAATAAATCAATATCTCAATAATCATATAAAAAAATCATTTTAGAAGAAGAAAAAAAAGTAGACCAAAACTGAACCAATCATCATCATGTGTTGGTGTCCTTGAAAGAAGAAGGCATACAAACACACACATACACACACACATACAAACACATACACACGCACATAGAAAAATAAGCCAATAACCCCATTTGATCTCAATCTACGCAACACGACACAACACATTGAACATTGAATTTTCACCAAGTATCAATTGTATCCAGATGTTTTAAACAGCTATTATATTGTGTCCAAAATGAAGCCAGATCAGCTGCGACAAGTAAACGTTGACTATTGATTGGACATAGGAAATTATTACATAACCATGTTGGATCACATATTTGACTACGATGTTGTATACAATAGGCACAAATTGTTTCTAATCGATTTAAACAAGACTGGACATGATTAATCTAAAAAAGTATTAAGGTGGAAAGAATTAGAAAGAGAATAAATGAAAAAAATTTTTTTTTAATTACAGAGTTAAGGAGATTGTTGTTGTTGTTTTACGATTGATAAACATACTGTTAGGATATTCATTCAATATCCTAAGAGAATTATTGGTCAAATCCTATTGGTCGATTTCTATTGGTCAAAATTATGGTCGTTTTAACTGTCAAAGTCAAATATTTCAATGTTGTCTCTTATTGGTCATCTGGACTGTCAATGTCATTTCAAATGTTCTTTCCTATTGGTCGTCCTAAATTGTCAATGTCACAGACTTCGATGCTGTTTCCTATTCGACCAAAATGTATAAATACGCATCATCTGTAACATTTTGTGACCACGACCAGGACCAGGACTCGGTCCCGGATCCCTAGTCCGGGATCCTGATTCTCTTCTGGATTCAGACCTCGTACTTTCTGGATGCTTGTAGAATACACGTTCTACTTCATATCACGTCCTCTTATTTTAACTAAATATCGGGGTTGTAAAAATCGGATTTGAGTAACATGTCGTGTCACCGGATCCTCGATCTCGTTTCCGACTTGGTAAACTCGTAATAGTTCAAGTATATCAAGCTGACGTGTTTACGTGCAGGCGTAACACATACACATTGTGAACGATAGGTGAGGAGGTTGTGCAAAACAATCTTAGATTGATGTAAAAGTTAGACATGAACATTTTCAGATGCCACCGAGTCAGTTGTGTAGCGGTTCAATGTTCGCATGTAAGACCAAAGGTCTTGCGGTTCGACTCCCACGAACAAGAATCGTGGACGAACACAGCCAGTGATGAATATCATACTAGGAAGAAACGATGTCTATTGTTCCGAGGTTTTGAATGGCGGCTCAAAATTGATTGATGAGTTCAGTGTAGAAGATATTTAGAAAAAATTGAAAACTATGCATCCTTCATTCTTGGAAAACCACAAAAGCCATCATCCGGAAGATACAAGTGTTTATTAACACTTGTCTACGCAGACAACTATGTATCCGTGGGTCAGACATTATCAGCAAGCAACCTACCATGGGAGAGAACAAACAAGATCCTAGCAGAGGAAGAAACGTTGGAGGTGAATAGGATATACCTTGCGGAAATGAACCAAGTGGGTAACAAGACAAGTCCTCATTTGGAATCCTCAAGGTCAAAGAAGAAGAGAAAGACCTAAGAACACATTGGGCGAGCAACGAGGAGAATGAACAGCAGTTAGTTAGAACTCAAGAGGATGGCCCGGAACAAAGTTCACTGAAGAATGCTGGCCGATTGCCTATACTCCGATAGGGGTAACAGGCGTAACTAAGTGAGTAAGTAAGCATTTGAAATTATCACTGATTGCTTTTATTCACGAGAAAGAAGAGAAAGACCAAAGAACACACATAACGCTGTGACCAGTGAAGTTCAATCCGTGTCACGACGTCGTATAAGACGATTATCCGCGCCATATACAATAAATAGATAAATATTGTACAAGATAATAAGTTGACTGAATTTAGTTAGACATTAACTCGATTTGGTGTACCACTCAGTGATCCGGATGAAAGGTAGCTGGCAGCATAAAAAACATAAACCAGGAACGCATGTCTCATACTAGTTGATGAAACTCGGCAAGCTGAATATACATCTATACCAACATCTCTCAAACAGTTCATGTTCAATTCAAAAGACTCGATTATAGATGTCGTCAAAGCATTACTCATGTATCATGGGACAAACGAGTGAGCAATGCTGTCGTTAGGAGATAAGTATTAAGTAGGGATGGCAAATCAATAGATGAAGTAATGAAACTCCATCAGTTGACGTGGTTGGGACATGTGTTACCAATTACTAACCACCGACTGACGCGAAGAGCTATGTTCGGTGGTGTAGGAGTAGGCTGGAAGAAAGTTAGGGGCGGCCAGACCAAAACATGGCAGAAATCCATGAAATCACTGACAACTGGATTGAGTCGTGTTGGTAGATGTAGACTACCTGGTTGGGGTCCGTGAGACGAAAGTCACCTATGGTTACAGACCTTGAACGACATGGCTCAAAATCATTTGCAATGACGCAGGTGCGGTCTAATCTTCTGAATTCCTCATCTCCTCTGCCTTTCTCTTTATAAATTTATCTCACTGAATTATACTTATTGAATAATATCTTCGAACCCTAATCTTCTCCATTACCACTAATACTTCTACTATCTCTACCAACGTGGGGTTTGAATTGACAATTGCATCTCTGTTTCTGCTAATGTGGCAATGTCAACTTGAACACTGATGTAAGTACGTACGTACAACGGTTTACATTGTAACTAACTGACAAAAGACTCAAATGTAGCATATCATTTCAAAAATTCCATTGTAAATAACAATTTAAACAACACATTCAATGATCAAACATTCGAGAAATTGAATAAAAAAAATCAATAAACACAAAGCAACACAACTACCACCAACCTACTTGACAACCAAATTTCACCATTTCAATATTCATCAATCTAGCATTGCCATGTAAACAAGTTCTACAATGACCTAATTCACTGGTAGAACTTATGCTTGGTACAATAGTTAAACAATTTGGACAAATATGTGGTGGTTGACCAATGAATGCACGCATTAATGATGATGAAGAACGTGAACGTGAACGACAATTCATCTGTGAGGATGATGACGATAATGACTGGGGCGATAGAATAAACGATGATGATGACGCTGGTGAATTTCGATTCGCTGTGAATGGATGTTGGCGTGGCCGGGTTGAATGTAGCTGACCAGTAGTTGGTCTAGAAGTTAATATATATCGATGATATTTTGAAGTGAAATAACGAGGTAGTTCGGATAACCTTGACAGAAATAGACAGAGAGAGAGAGGGAAAACCAAATGCAGTCGATGAGAATAAAGATAAGTGATATTTTTAACTGATATCAAGCCGACGGTAGTGAGTATATTGAATGAATCAATGCGATTTTTGCATTGTGGTCTTATGGAGATCGTTGTTTTTACACATTGCAAGCAATCATGAATCGATCAATGTTAGATCGCCATTTGAGACCAATCTACACTGGATGGTGGTTTCATCCTGCTATGGGACTATTCATCAGTGTCAGTACGCATCCGTGACTCCTGCTACTCGCATGATTCGAACTGATTACCTCTGGACCATTGACACGTCTGATCCTGATCAATGTTAGATCGCCATCTGAGACCAACAATTACTGGCCGGCTGTTTCAACTTGGCATGAAACCTCACCAACAGTGGGCATTCACAACTCCTGCACCTCACAGGATTCGAGCCCACGACCTTCGGTCTTGCGAGCGAACGCCTGACGTCTGGATTACTACTGGGTTGGCATCCTACGGTGTCAGTGCCTAACTCAGATCAATCTAATGATTTCATGCTCACTGCTGACTAGATTCGTGAGGAAATTCTCAGAACAACTGAGAGAATTATAACAATACTGATTTTGAAGAAGAATACAGTTCACGGAAAAAATCTTCTTCAATAATAAAATGAGTCAGTTTCATCGTTTGATTTGAAACGTAAGAGCATTAGACAATACAATATGTTGAGAATTGGCGGTAGACAGCAAACGAATGAATAGCACAAAGGAACAATTGGAATCCTGGAGGCATTGGACGGCTGTCACGTACTGGTATGGGACTATTGATCAGTGTCAATGTGCACCTACGACTCCTGTCGCTCACAGGACTCGAACCCAAGACATTCGGTTTATAATGAAAAATCGTACAATGTACCCACAAGTGACTACTAGCATTGTGAGAGAATCTTCGGAGTTCTAATGAGAAGACATGAAAAGTGGAGTTCAACACTGTTTCAGGTGTAGGCAAATGGGTGAGATCGCGCAAAATCCCTAGATTGACATTAACACCGCTGGATTTCGCCGGCTCAAAGATTCAGAACTTAGGTGTTCACGCGCAAGTTCGAAGGTCCTAGGTTCGAATCCTGCGAGTAGCATAGATCGTGTTCAGTTCTTGGACACTTGGACACACCACACACACACAACAGTCACAACAATAAAAATCGACTGAAAAAACCAACTAACCAACTACGAACTGGCCAACCAATCACTTGTGTCATACGTTCAATTGGCGGAATAAATTGTTTATCTAAATAATAAGCATAATTTAAACGTGGTCCTAACAGACGACGTGATGATGATGAATTAGTTGACTTGTCCGTCGTCGTTGTCATCCATAAAGATGGATAAATCTCATTGATACTACGTACACATGATAATAAAGTTTGATCAGATCGTCCAGCTGCAATGTAGTATACAACACGTTCACCACGTAATGGTTCACCACGTGGATCCATTGAAAGTAGACGTCTAAACATAAAAATAATACTATTAGTTAGAAAAATAGAAGAGCAGAAAAGTATATGCCTGTATTAAACAGTGAAAAAAGTGTTGTGTTGAATAACAGTGAGAAGAATTCATCTGCAGTTGTGACGACCTATGCTCCGCGTTAAGGGGTAACAGGTGTAAGTATATATGCAGCAAATGCCTGACAATGTCTATAGTTCATACATTAACCTGTTTGTATATATCTATACTACTTACTTAATTATCTGTTGCCTCAATGAAGCATAGGCCGCCAACCAGTATTCTCCAACATACACTGTCCTGCGTTTCCCTTCCCAATTCTATCCAGTTTTTGTTCATTCTTTACCATTACTCAGTGTAATGTGTTCCTTGGCCTTCTCCTTTTTCTTTGACCTTGAGGGTTCCGAGTGAGAACTTGTCTTGTGACGCAGTTGGATGCTTTCCTCAATATGTATCCTGTCCACTTCCACCGCTTCTTCCTGATTTCTTCCTATGCTGGAATCTAGTTTGTTTCTTGCTGATGATATGTGCCTAACGGATCCGAAGTATTTTTGCGTAGACAACTGTTAATGAACACTTGTATCTTCTGGATGATGGTGTTACGCATAGAAACATGTCATTTTGATATGCTTGAACTATCACGAGTTTACCTCAATCAGTAAACGAGAGCGAGGATTGAGGATCTGTGGACACGACAGGCTACTCTAATCCTATTGTCCCAAACTCCCATATAGTAAACGAAGAAGACTTGATATGAAGTTGAACCTGTATTCTACAAACATCCAGAAAGTACAAGGTCCGAGTTCAGAAGAGAATCAGGATTACGGAGTAGAGATCCAGGTCCGGGTCATAAAACGTTACAGATAATGCGTATTTATACAGTTAGGTTGAATAGGAAACAATATTTGAAGTCTAGGCGATGCTGCGCTGCATATAATTTGCATGCAATCTTATGACTACCATTCACCATACAAGTCACTTGTCATTTTGTTATGCAATTATTTGATCCAAGCATCACGAGCTTATAATAATCGAAAATTTTCTTTTCTGCTTAAGTTGTAAATACTTGAAATCATGGTTATTCTGTTCAATTTACTGTTCATACTACTATCTTCAAATGCCACTTACTCTCTCTCTCATCACAGTCAACATTATCAGTAGGAATTTGAGCCAAATGAAATCGAAACATTTCCACTGAGTAAGCAATCCTGTTGTTAGGAAATGGGTACTAGGTAATGATGACAGATTAATAGATGAAGTATTGTAAACTTCGTCACTTTTGGTAGTCGGAATATGTGTTACATATGCTCAATTATCGACTGTCTCAATTAGCGATATTTAGTGATGTAGGAGTAAGTTGGACGAAAGAGCTAGGGGCGGTCAAACCAAATCACGGTATAAATCCATGAAGTCACTGATAACTGGACTGTATAGACTACTTGGTTGGGGTCCGCGAGATGATAATAATCGATGGTTAGAGACCTTGAATGACAAAGCTCAAAATTGTTTGCAATGACGCAGGTGCATCCATCACTCTCTGTGTTCTCTGAACTTCTAATCTTCTGAATTCCTCATTACCTTACCTTTTTCTTTTCAAGTTTATTTCACTAGATTCTACTTCTTGAATAATATTGTCAAATCCTAATCTCTCTGATTACTGTCCATACTTCTACTACCTCTACTACTACTATGGGATTTGAGTGGACAATTTCATTTTTCTGTGTGGTAATGTGATATGGCAACTTGACACACAGATCGTACGTACGTACAAAGCTCTATGTTGTTTTAGCTGACTGAATGGCTGACTGACTGAGTGAAATGAAATAATTTTCATTAAGAGTAAAATTTATCCACAGCAAAAACTACACAGCAACAGCAACAAGAAGAAGAGATCAATGCTTACTGTTACGCCTACACGTAAACACGTCAACTTAATATACTTGAACTATAACGAGTTTACCTCTTAGTCGGAAAACGAGAGCGAGGATTGAGTGGATCCGGCGACACGACATCCAACTCAAATCCGATTATCCCAACCCCTATATTTAGTAATAAATAAGAAGACTTGATATGAAGTAGAACCCGTATTCTACAAACATCCGGAAGTACGAGGTCCGAATCCAGGAAAGAATCAGGATCCCGGACTAGGGATCCGGGACCGAGCCCTGGTCCTGGTCGTGGTCATAAATGTTACAGATAATGCATATTTATACATTTAGGTCGAATAGGAAACAGCATCAAAGTCTGTGACATTGACAGTTAAGACAACCAATAGGGAAACAACATATGAAGTGACATTGATAATCAGGACAACCAATAAGAAACAACATTCGAGCATGTGACATTGATATCCAATAGGACGACCATAAAATTAACCAGTAAAAATATTAACCAATAGAAATTAACCAATAATTAATTCTCTCACAAAATTGAATATTGAATGAATATATCCGAATACTTACTTAGCCACTTGCAATGCTGGTGCATATGTACCTGGTTTATAAGAGGACATACCCCAAAATGGTCTAGTAATGATACATTGATTCAATGGTATTTTACCATGTATTAAACGATAAGCAAATTGTTGAATTTTTAATTTTAAATGATTTTCAGCTAATTTCAATTGTGTATTCATATTTTTATAATATGATTGATTGTCTGAAATTAAATTAAATACACAAACACATACAAAAATACATTCATGTACTAAATTAGAATCGAATTATTTAAGAGTTAATGCTAATATTTAGTGAGAAGAAAATGTATACAAGTTGATCTTGGAGTTATCAGGTGAATGTATACACCGAAATTGGAATTTTAAACATAAGTCACTAGAGCTGTCATTCAAAAGACATTCAAAAGACACATATTACGGATATTACCCAAATGCACCACAAGGTAAGCTCTAACTTAGGCCAGACTAAAACATGGCACAAATCTATGAAGTCACTGACAACTGGATGGAGTCATGTTGGTAGGTATCGACTACTTGGTTGAGGCCCAGTCAGTCAGTCAGTTGCAACGTAGAACTTCGTACGTAAGTACATCAGTTCATGTCGCTATACCACATCAGCACAGAGATATAATTGTCAATTCAAATCCAATAGTAGAAGGGTTAGTAAGGGTATTAGAAGTAATCGGAGAGGTTAGGATGAGAAGATATTATTCAAGAAGTATAATTCAGTGAGATAAGTTTAGAAAGACAAAACTAGAGGCGTTGAAGAATCCAGAAGATTGGGATTTGAGAAAACACAAAGAATAAATGCACCGGCGCCACTGCAAACGGTTTTGAGCCATGTCATTCACGGACTCTAACCATCGATTACTATCATCTAGTGGGCCTCAACCAATTAACCTCATACAACCGTTAACATTTTGGTTAATAGCTGAACGCGCTAACCCACTACGCCACGGAGTCACACTCCGACGTACCCACACATTCCATACAACACACCGCACCAACTCACATCGCACACATGACCAAGAAACAAAACACAACCACTGTCTCCGGCAATACATCAACTCCACTACCATATCTACTCCGCCAACATCGTTCACTACAATCAGAACGCACACACCATCACGTTACCCACACTTAGTCACTCACTCATACAAACACACACACATGCAAGGGCTATTTAAGATTTAACGCTAATATTAAGCGAGAAGAAAATGCATACAAGTTGATGTTGGAGTTATCAGGTGAATATCTACATCGAAATTGAAATTTTAAATACGATTCACTAGAGCCATCATTAAAAACATACAGGTGTTGATTAACACTTGTTTACGCGATGTATTGCTTAGTTGTTGATCAAAAATCATTAGCAATAACCTACTGTAGGAGAGAGAGAACAACCCAGATTCCAGCTGAGGAAGAAATCAAGAAAATGCACAGGGGGTGAATAGGACACATTACGGATATTATCCAAAACTGCACCACAATGCAAGCTCTAACTTAGGCCAAATCAAAACATGGAACAAATCTATGAAGTCATTGACGAGTGGATTGAGTCATATTGGTAGTTGTCGAATACCTGGTTGGGGTCCGCGAGATGATAGTAATCGATGGATAGAGACCTTGAATGACATGGCTCAAAATCGTTCGCAATGGCGCCGGTGTATTTATTCTTTATGTTCTCTCAAATCTTAATCTTCTGGATTCTTCAACACCTCCAGTTTTGACTTTCTAAACTTATCTCACTGAATTATACTTCTTGAATAATATCTTCTAATCCTAACCTCTCCGATTACATCTAATGCCTAAACTACCTCTTCTACTATTGTATTTGAATTGACAATTATACCTCTGTGCTAATGTGGTATGCCAACATGAACTGATGCACGTAGGTACGAAGCTCTGTGTTGCTGCTGATTGATTGATTGATTGATAACTTAGGCAAAAAGAAAAAATGGGCAATCCAAAGAACAAACTACATTGAGAATAACAAGCAGACATGAAAAGACTGAACAGCAATTCGATAGAACTAGAAAGGAAGACCTAGGACAGAGCAAGCTTGATGAATGCTGGTTGGTTGTCTATGCCCTGCGAAGGGTAACAGCAATAACTAAAGTAAGCTGAAAATAACATTTCTGTTGAGATAATTCCAAGATCGCATACTTATTATATTTAAAATCATACTTGTCGCTAGAATTTCTAAGAGGTTGATACTTTAAATTAAATAGATGATATTTAACGGCTTGACAAATAAATCTATCGTTTGTCAATGATTTATATAGTGAATCAAAGTTATAAAAAAAAAGTTGAATGTGGGAAGAGAGTGTTTATTACGGTGTGGTAGGATGTGAATTTGGTTTGAGTTCGGTGGAGTGACGCATAGGCATCGGATGGAGAGAGACGATAATGGCGTGGTGTGTTGACGCGGGTATTGAGAGTAAGCCGTATGTAGTAACCAGTGTGCGTATACTGAGGTTACGCCTGCACGTAAACACGTCAAATTGATGAACTTGAACTATCACGCGTTCACCTTAGTCGGAAAACGAGAGAGCGAGGATCGAGGATCCGGCGACACCACATACTACTCAAATGCGATTTTCAAAACCCACCATATTGAGTAAAAATAGGAAGACTTGATATGAAGTAGAACCTGTTTTCTACAAGCATGCAGAAAGTACGAGGTCCGAGTCCATAAGAGAATCAGGATCCCGGACTAGTGATCCGGGACCAAGTCCTGGTCCAGGTCATAAAACGTTACAGGTAATGCGTACATTTTGGTCGAATAGGAAACAGCATCGAAGTCTATGACATTGACAGTTAAGGCGACCAATAAGGACCAATAGGACAACCATAAAATCGACCACTAGGAATTAACCGAATAGGAATTGACCAATTATTCTCTTAGGATATTAGATGAATATCCTAACAATTGATGCAAGTGAGATGAAGTGATTAGTGATATTGTTGATGTGCGGCATCGAAAGTCACTACTGCCTTCGAGTGAGCTCAAGCCACCAACCTTTCAGTTAAAAGCCTAACGCGCTAACCCATTGCGAAAAGGAAGCACACTCCGCCGCATCCACACGTACCTTACCTCACACAACCAAGCAATATAACACAACAACTTTATATCTACCAATGCACAAACACTGATACCAACTATACACTACCACATCTACATCGACAACATAGTTCACAACAACCGGAATGCTCACATCGCCACGCTCGCCCACTCACTCACTCACACAAACACACGCAAACGCTCATAATCTCAACTACCACAAAAAACACCAGAGAGAGAGAGAGAGAGAGAGAGAGTAACAAATCGTCAATTGAATATCCTTTTAATTAACGGAAAAAACGATTCTAATACCTTCATCTTTGTGTAAATTTATTTCTGTATTCATGTTCACGGTGTTTGGCATTGTGAAATGATTAAATAACAATTTAAAACAATCTTCAAGAATCTACAATTTAAGTACAAACATAAATAAATACAAGAAATCATTGATTCAATGTTCAACTGTTTTATTAGTGAAATAAAAAAACTCTTATTTAACAAAAATGAACCAATAAACCAATTCATTTTGAGATGGTGGAGAAAACTTGTAGCTCAGGTGGATGAGTGTGGTGGTGGTGTTTGGTTTTCTGAGCTGGATGACGTCTTGGTTGTGGAGCTTTCATTGTTCTTCTACTGAACAACATCATCAACACAAACTTCAGATAGAAGAAGTGAAGCATTCGAATTTCTCCATGTTTGACCTGTAGCTTGTTCTGCTAACCTCGATCGACAGGTCAAAAGTCAACAGCAACCAATCAAGATCGAGGTTAGCAGAACAAGCTACAGGTCAAATGTGGAGAAATTCGAATACTTCAACTCTGCTATCTGAAGTTTGTGCTGAAGATGATGTTGTTCAGTAGAAGAACAATGAAAGCTCCACAACCAAAACAATCAGCTCAGAGAACCAAACACCACCACAAACAAATTCATACAATCGAAATCACAAATCGATAATTGTAGAAATCTGAAAGCACTGAGTAGTCGTTTCTTCCTGGTTTAGGACTTATTAACACCATGCATTCATGAACCCCGTGTGTAGGAATCAAACCCAGTACATTCGGTTTCGCGCGCATCACATAACCGGCATTCAATGGTGTTTTTGTCTGAATTCAATCAATTTACGGTATTGTGCGACCTCAAACACGGTGGGTAACTGCCTCACACGCAACACGGTTGAACTCAACTGGTCATGACTTCTCAACAGAACTCCGAGAATTTCCTTACTTACCAATTGTGGATCCAGAAACTGATTAGATTTCAACATTTGATTTTTTTTTCTACTGAATTGAAGATTAGAACACAGTTATAATGCGTTTGTTTCGCTAATGGTAAGTGTAAACATTTTAATAGTAGACTGTGTTATTTTCTATGCCTATTGTTATCCCACGTTTCTTGTCTTTTTGTGTATTGATTTATACTACTTATTTATATTCAGTAGACAATTTTTTTCTTGATAATTTCTAAGTGAGCAGCGTCATGCCGGCCACAAGCTTAGTCCATTGAAGTAGACTGTAGTCAAGTATGTGCAAAATCTATCCTATACTCCTTAATGACACTTTACTTTGACGATCATTATTTCTTTGCCCAATAGAAATGGTTGTAGCATATTAAGGAAATGAATTTCAGTAAAAGATGAGGAAAAAAAATCATTTCTATGGTAACATAGAAGTAAAACTACATTAAATACAGACGTGTACGTGTGTGTGTGTGCGTGTGTATAGGAATAGTGGATACAAGTTTACTTGTTTTACATAAATCAGCACGGAACGGATGTGCACTGCTGATGAGTCCCTTACCAGGATGAAACGCCTCTCCAGTGCTTCCAGGTTTCTAATGGTGGTCTAACAATGATTAACTTATGGCTTTAAGGTAAAGCTGCAATCACTATAATAAGCTTATGCAAAGTCGATAAACGTGCTCACTAGAGACTACCATCGTGAATTTGCCGTAGTTCTAGTGAGGACACCTGACCAGTGGAGTTCAACCCTGTCGATTGTAGGCAGACAAGACCTTAGATCAATCAAAAGTCAAACATTAATAACGTTAGATTCCAGCGCAGCGGGTGTCAGAGGTTAAGCGTTCACACGCTAAACGAAAAATTCTGGGTTCGAATCCTGTGAGTAGTAGAAGTCGTAGACG